TGCCCTGGCTCAATGGGGAATTCTGGGAACTGTAGTTTTGTGAGATATTTAGACTTTTCTGTCAGAGAGCTCTAGTGCCACAATAAAGTACAATTCCCAAGATTCCCTAGCACTGAGCCAAAGCAGTTAAAGTGGTCTCAGACTGGATTATTTTTGCAGAGTGTTTTGGACCATTGTAAGGAAAACAGGTAATTGCCCAACATCCTATATTAGGGGGTAAAAACTGGCTAATAAGGAAAACTGACAAAAGCCTAGGGGGGAAGTGGCCAGCTAGTGAATTATCTCAAATTTCATTCGGATCATGTTTTCATTGTACACCAAACAATAGCAAACAATGCTCAGTGGGAATACTAGCAAGTCCTTGCCTTGTCCCCAGGCAGATAATTTTTATAGAGTCATTGGTTAACAAAAAATAAATATGAGAGACTAGAAAATATTTCACTCACTCTTTCAAAAGAGAGAGAGAGAGAGATTATTTTAGTATGAATTACCCATCCCTAAGGGGCCAGCACAGCTCAGGGAGTTCTGAATAAACAGCCACTTCCTAAGCAAGTCATCAACACAAAGGTATTACACTGAGTTCCCTAGGGCCACTCAGATAGATATTTTTTGCATGTGTGCACATGTTCAGACCTTTCTCCAACCACATCTCACTCCTGCATTTTTTCAAGTATCCCCATTATGATGCTCTGCACACATTTTCCATTTTTGCAGTTCTAAATTGAGGTGAAAAATAATTTCTGAAATACCAAAAGGCAGGGGACAGACAATCTTGAGATTTACCAGTTCTATCCAGCTTCTCCACCAGGCAATTTCTAAGAAGGAGCAGTTTAATCCATCCTATTATTCAAGATTTTAATTTTCACCCCAGAGTATAATGCCCTCTTTCTCACCCATTCCTTTTTCCCTACAGAAAAGATTTGGGGTTCACTCCTGTTTGCATTACTTACACATCCTGGAACTCCTCCAGAGATTTCTGTGGTGTGAAGACATTTAATAAACTGATAATCTGAAAAGCAGCAAGAAAAGGACAGGAAAGAGAGAACAGTAATAAAACATTAGCATTTGATCAGATTATGACAAACCGCTCTACAGAAATATCCATGAGTGTTTATAACTGCTAACTTTTCACCAATCCATCCTGTGACAAGAGTTTAAAGAAACACCTCACAAAAATCAAATGTACATGTTGCAAAGAGAACGATCGTTTTTGGAAGGCATCTTTGCATGCATGTTGTTCAATTAATTCAATAAAAGGAAAGCAGATTTTGTCTCCAAATTTAGTGTTTCCAGAACTGAATTTCTAGCCTCACAAGAAGAAAGCTGTGTAACATTAACTACACTTGCTGAAAAGGATTAGGAATTGGAAGTGTAGGTTAGGTGAAGGGTATGTGAAGGACAACTTAATGTTTTCCCAAAGAATGAGGAGTAGCTACTGCTGCTTGTACTAATATCTCTAATACTTAGCACTTTGTTACACCAGTAAAGAAGTGTTAGCCATTACTTCAAGCATCAGAGGTGTGTGGGGAAGGGACACAGAGAGTAGTGGAGTGATGTTGGTGGGTACTGCTATATGAACAGTCTTGTTACCCAAATTACTAGGTTACCAAGATGGCACCCACAAATTAATATATAATAAAGAGTTAAAGATTTCCCCTTTGACAGGATTGTCTAGTCATGTCCAACAGTAGAGGGCAGTGCTTATCTCCATTACTAAACTAAGGGACTCAGCATTGTCATACTCCGTAGTCATGTGGCCAGTATGACTGCATGTAATACAAACAGATAAATAGTGGTACCTATTTATCTACTTGCACTTTGACATACTCTTGAACTGCTAGGTTGGCCGAAACCTGGACTAGCAATGGGAGCTCACTCTGTCACGCAGTGTTTTGGTCTTGAACTGCCAATAGGGAAATTGTAATAGTTCAAATTAATAGCAGCGAGAGGACTCCAGGTAACTTGAAAGAGTCAGGATCTTGCCTATGTTTAACAGGCCCAAGAACCAGAACTCTCAGAGTGCAAAGTGCAACTTAGTTTTATTGATTAACAGCAAAGGAGAGAATCACCATTCACACAATAGCATTTGCACATACACACACACAAGAACTAACAAAATTAAAGGCAGTAGCTTGTAGCAAGGTTGAGGTAAAGCAAAACTTTACCAGTCCCGAAGCGGAAATCTAATCAGGGGATGATGGAAGCGACACTGGCTCAACAAAGCTGCCTAAAGTTGGGTGCGTGTGTGTGTGTGTGCCAGACTGTGTTGAGGGGTCAATATGAAATCCAGCAGTATTCCTGCCTGATTCTAGACTGAGCCAACATTTGATTGCCAAGGCAGGCTTTTTTGTAGAGTCTTGAGGCAGTTGGGCAGATTTTTCAAGAATCCCCAAAACAATGGGATTCCCACCAGGCTGGTGGTTTTAATTTCAGAGTCACAAAACAGGGGTAGGCAACCTTTCCCCTTTAAGGGCCGAGGACTTCAGCTCCCAGAATCTCAGGAGCTATTGGCTAACATGGGACTATTGGCTGAGGCTTCTGGGAGCTGAAGTCCCTCAGCCCTTAAAGGGGAAAGGTTGCCTACCTCTGCACAAAAAGAATATTTTTGGTTGATGGAAGTGACATTGATTTAATCATGCCGTAGTAAGATCAGGACAACCTCAGTGACTTTGGATAGGATCTAGTGTGAGAAAGTACTGTGGGGCAAGCAGAAAGACTGGCTTAACGCTTTAATCTTGACAAACCTTTTTCTGTGACCTTCAAGAGGAAATGCACATGGCAGGGTGTGGGAAGCAGCAATATTTACAGCCATAACATTAGAGGGGTTCTTTTCACATGCCATCTGGTCTGTGATCAGTCAGAAGTTCACTTAAAGATCATCTGACTTTTTCAGGTTCATGCTTCTCTGTAACTGCTGAAACTGGTATTATAATAACTCTAACTCTAACTATGTAACTGCTATTATAATGAAATAACAAAATATTTATACCCCAAAATAATGCAGGGTATGCAGGATGTGGTAACAACATGACTCGCCTTGCACTACCCTCAGATACTGTGCAATAGTAATGGAAAGAACATTCACAAATATTTGATAAACAGATAAAAGGGGGGAAACCCTAACAAAGACAATGTTCCTGCAATGAGAATATTCATAGTTTTAGATTTTCTGTGCAAAATCGCCAGCAACAATAACATAGTTTCCTGCACAGAAAACAAAATTCTTGCACTGAAAGTGCCTTTTTCTATGCAATTTTCTTCGCCATTTTTGTGCAGGATAAGTCCCAAACTGCACATACACCTGGAAAACTGCTCAGTCTTCTGTTCCTATACAGACAGGAAAGTACGTTCCACAAGGGTTTGGAGGATTGCTCTGTCATGCAACCACTTTTATGGTCCCCAGGCTTAAAAATAAATGTCAAAAGATTTTTTGCTGACAAAAAAATGGCCTCTGGGGGCCATTTTTGCCATTTCTTTCTCCCCCACACCCCAAGCCAAAGAGAAGGTTTTTTAAAAGTTAGGAAGGGAACATATATGTTTAAAAAGGCTTTTCCTGGGCCTAAAACAGCATGGAGGAAATGCTTCCATGCCCTCCAGAGGGTGTTTGGGGCACATAGGGTCATTTAGGATCAAAATAATTTATTTGAGGGGGTGCATTGAGGTAATTCAAAGCAATGGGGGCCCTGACAGTTGCCAGCCCTATTCAAAGGTTAGGTGTGGGATGTGTATGGCCCACAGACATCAGGTACGTGCCAGTTCCTGCCCTAATCGCCTGGTATGTGCTGGAAAATAACTCTGCTCTCCATTGCTGGGTGAGGAGATTGCATAAAGGAAAGAATTTCAAACAGTGGGATCCAACATTACTTGTAGAAAGTGAAGGGCAGGTTCAACCCTCAGCTGTTCTACCCCCACATGAGCAAATTCTGACCTTGGCTTTAATCCTGAGCCTATTCACATAAGAATAAACATTCACCAGTAAGAGCATATACCAGCTAAGTAGCTCTGGATTGGATAATCAGAGGACAATTGATCTATTGCTGCACAAAAGGAGAGAAGCTGAATCAGTTTTCTACTCTTCTCTTTCATGAGATTTAAATAAGTGAAGATCTCCATAGCGACAGCACAATCAAATATGCTGATCCCTGCCTCAGTTGTCCCTAGCCAGAAAATAGAGAATGCAGCTAAGCTTTTACCCTTTCCTTGACATCTACTTTTCAAAAGAGAATATTGTAGCTCTGACAACATTCATATCTCCTAAACCCATGCAATCTCTGCACATCTAGCAGTGAAAGAAATTGTATTTCCCTGTGTTGGCACACGGAGAATCCTGCTTTGAAAATGACTTAATTTATAAGGTGAGTTTGTCATGAAGGCATAACTTACGTTTTTGTGATTCACACATTTCATGAGGACTAGTTCCCTGTAAGCTCTTTTAGCGTGCGTTTGATTTTGAAACGGCCTGCTGAGCTTCTTGATGGCCACATTTCTGTCAAGAACTGCATCATATGCAGCACTAGAAAATGAAAAGAACAACAGAAGTATTACACTGGTCACTCCAGTTCAAAGTTTATTTTAGTCTTACATTTTTTTTTTCCTCAACAGAAATACACCTTTCATGAATAGCTCAAAGCAATGAATTCACATTGCTGGAAATATAAAACACCTTTGTTCGCAAACTACTGAAGCTGAAGTCAACAGCTGAACCCAATGATCACACTACTGAGCATTCACATATAAACTGATTTACTCTGTTGAAGTCTTGAGACTAGCCATCTTAAGCCTAAATATCTGTCATATCTGATAATTTGATAGAATAACGTCAACATCCCTCTTTTGTACATGTGTATGTTGTGTGCTTTCAAGTTGTTTCTGACTTATGGCGACCATAAGGTGAGCCTATCATGTGGGTTTCATGACAAGTTTCTTCAGAAGGGGTCTGTCATTGCCATCCTCTGAGGCTGAGAGAGTGTGACTTGCCCAAGGTCACCCAGTAGGTTTCATGGCCGAGTGGGGATTCAAACCCTAGTCTCCAGAATCACAGTCCAACGCTCAAACCACTACACTACACTGGCTCTATACTTCTTGAAAGATTCCAATTTACCATGGTTGCACATGATTGGTTGCACAGTGAACCACACAAGTACTTTGCTGCAATCACACATCAAGGGTCCCTTCACACTACACCAGGGGTAGGCAACCTTTCCCCTTTAAGGGTCGAAGGACTTCAGCTCCCAGAAGCCTCAGCCATGTTGGCCAATAGTCCCATGTTGGCCAATAGCTCCTGGGATTCTGGGAGCTGAAGTCCCTCGGCCCTTAAAGGGGAAAGGTTGCCTACCCCTGCACTACACAGTTACAGTGCTATGATTTCATACTGGCCACCATGGAATCCAGGAGTTTGTAATTTATGAAGGGGCTATTAGAATTTTCAGCCAGAGAAGCCTAGTTCCTCAACCAATCTGCAGATCCCAGGATTCCACAGGACACATCCATGGCATTTAAAGTGGACTCATAGTGCTATAACTGTGCAGTGTGCAAGGCCCCCCAGTCTGGGTCTGGATGCAACACTGGAACAATGGATACTAGGATGCAGCAGCAGCATCACACACCACATTTGTCCTGTCTAAGCAAATGCCACATGTTCCTCTATTAACTGAGATCGAACTACATATTACAACCATACACGGTTCATTTTTGTTTTAACAAACAGCTGAAGCGGTTCAGAGACAGATTTAGATTGTGAAAAGGGAGTTTTAAATTTTCAACAGAATTACACATACAATACAAATACAAATACCTTTTGCCCCTCATTGGAATACACCTCCATGCCTGCTTTTTGCAATATGAGAATGTTTCTTAAAGCAGGTTTCAATGTATTGATTGACAATGTTTTATTGTTGATATTATTAGCTGTTTAAAATTTGCTTCCTGCTGCTTAGGGAGCTGTAAGTCAAAAGGTGGTTTATAAAAGGAAATAAGTAATGAACAGATTGCTAGAAGAACTCTCTTAGCATAATAGCAGTTTAAATGGTTTTCTCCTTCAGATTCCTCCTCTCCTCCAAATCCCACGACTCTTAATTTCTATGCTGCTAATTTCAGTCTCACCGGAAAGCTTATCTGCTTTTCCACAGTCTCTCAAACTGTTTGTATATATAACCTGCAGTTTAGTTTTTGAAAACTGGAAGGCAGCTTCAACTGTGCTGCAATCACTCCACATCTTTGTGTTTGTTTGGTTTTTTTACTAAACAATATAATGCAATAATAACAGAAGTTTTTACCTATTCTACAGAAGCATGGCCAAGCTTAATTGAATAATGTGATGTGTGCCTCCCCCCCTCCTTCTACTGAAGATCCCATCATGATGAAAAGAGCATGCAAACTATGGTTAATCACTAATTTGAACTAGAAAAGGATGTTGGGGGGAGGAATAGGGGGGAGGAATAGCTTTAAACATGCCAGCTATATTTACTTAAAGAAAGTGAATTTAAGTGATGGGGATGGACTGGATTTTGCCAGTTATTTTATTCAGGTGTCAATACATATAAGAACAACTAAGTACCAGTTCACCCAGTGAAAGGTCCCAGAGAAAGGATGACCTTCATTATCCATGAAGATCTTGTCATATAGCATCCAACTACATTTTATAGCATTTACCCTCTAGTTCAGTATGTGGGAGGCCGCTAGGAAAAATCATTTCGAAGTAGTTTAACTTTCTCCTTTAAAACAACTAATGCCTTGTTTGCACTAAACCCCACTACCCCCATGTAGGAAGTTATTTTTAAAAAAGAAAAAGAAAAAAAGATTAAAAGCAATTTTTCATTTTCCCATTATAATAGTTACTTTTAGTTACTTTTTAAAAAAAATTAAATGTAGTGGTACAAGGAATAGCATTTGAAGCATGTGAAAGGCAAAGTTATTGCAGTGTGTTCCAAACAGAATTTTATGTTGTGGTTGTTGTTGTTGTTGTTGTTGTTGTGTGCCTTCAAGACATTCTGACTTATGGCAACCCTACAGTGCTCCTAACACAGGGTTTTCTGGGGCTGAGAGTATGATCCAAAACATACTGCAGAAATAATCCAGTTTGAGACCGCTTTAATTGCCCTGGCCCAATGCTAGGAAATTCTGGGAACTGTAGTTTTGTGAAGCATTTAGTTTTCTCTGTGTGAGAGCTCTGGTGCCACAATAAACTATAGTTCCCAGAATTCCCTAGCACTATACCAGGGTAATTGAAGTGGTCTCAAACTGGATTATTGCTGCAGTGTGTTTTGGATCTATGTTACTTGCCCAAGATCACCCAGCACAGGGAATCAAAACATGATCTCTACAGTGATCACACACAACAGTATCTTCCAGCTTAGAAACTAAAGTTTGAAAATGCTATTTGCTTCAACTACAACTTCCATAAATTCCCAACCAGAAAGGATGCCAGTTGAAAGATTCTGGGAGTTGTAATCCCAAATAAATAAAAAAGTAAAATGAGAAAGAAGAAGAACATTTTTAAAAGATTGAAAAATGGTCAAAAGCATATATCTTGAGTGTCAAGAAATCCTGAACAGGAGAATCTTGGATTGACAAGAATCTTCACAGTTCAGGACTTATTCTACGCAAAATTCACACATGGTTGTTTTGCACAAAAATCAGCATTTTATGCACAGAAAACAATATTGCTGCACAGAAATATTATCTTTGGCATAGAAAATGCTGTTTGCTGTTCAGAACATGCTGTTTCCTCAACAAAAATGCCACATGCAAGTTTTGCACAGAAAAGATCTCAAACAGCAAAGAGCAAGAAGAAAATTTCTAAAATTACTCATTGGTTCCCTTGAGAGAGAAAAACTAGCAAAGTATCCCTTCCTTACGAATCAGTAACATCTCCAGACTTGGCTTATATCACTTTAGGTCTGTATTATCTACTCTGACTTGCAGAAGTTCTCCAAGGACCCACTTTCTCTCCTTTCTTGCTAGCTGATTCTTTTCAATGCAAGTATCTGTAGATAGCAGGGACTAATCTAAGATCTTTTGCCTGCGAAGCACATGCTTTCCCACCTATCTGCAATCTTCCTCCAACAGAGGTGCATTGTTCATTTATTATAAAGATTTATCAAAATTTGCAAAATTTCCTCATTTAGAAAGATTTTTTTTAACAAAACGAACATGGGAGAAACCAAAACTGACAAAGTACTGATCCATGCCTACTGAATACACAGTTATTCAATATTAGACACATTCAAATGTTTAAGACTTTAAGAATGCTTAACTCTTAAAAGTCTAATTTGAATCCTTCTTTGTATATTCAGTCATGCTAATGCTGAATTATGATTGCCATCTTTTTTTTTCTCAGAGGCTCATGAGCTTTATTTAACATCTGTATGACAGTCAGGCATGTCATTGTTCTTTCCATGTTAGGAGTCTACCGAACGTACTGAATTTGGCAGGGGAGAATTTGCACCATTCATATTTAGCTTCTGGAAGTGTAGATTTGGTTAAGTATGACTGCAGTGCAAAATGAATACATTTCTCACATATCCATATTAATTGCACCGATTTGTTGCCATTGTTTTCAGGCCCTCTCCAGTATCCTGCATTGATTCATGTTGATTGCTACAATTTTCCTGCAGGCTGCTAGGGAAATCATCTCCCACACACAGTCAGATCCCTGCTGTGTGAGTACACAATTGAAGACAAATATCAGAAACCAAACAACAAAGCCCCTGAAAAACTGGTGTGAAGACCTAATGAAAACTGGCATCTCTGATTATTCTTCCCTTGCTTTTCTATCAGCTTTCATTCCCCCCTCTTCACATATTCCCAAACATCTTGTCAATATTTCAAAACCTTAATGAAAAATATAACTCTCTCTCTCTCTCTCTCTCTCTCTCTCTCACACACACACACACACACACACACAGACGCCCCGACATTTTAAAATGCATTATTTTGTTGAGTATTGGATATGTGATTTAATAGGGGGTTGAGGAAATGGAGCAACCCTTCGTGAATTCTTTTCATCATCATATTTATAAGGCAAACAGTTAAAGTGGGCCATAATCCCACTTCTCTTATTCCAAATCCTTGCTCAAAATTTTATCTTCCCCATGATACGTTTGGCAATTCTCCTTAGCCCACACATCCCTACATATTGTTCCCATATGGCACTGAATATACACACCAAGTTGTCTATATATGCATTGTGCTGCTTATTAAGAAAGAATAGTCCCAAAATGAATGTTATTTGTGACCGTTTCTTACACCCAAAAGACACACAGGCTTCCACTATCTCTGCCTCCAACTCCATTACCTTCCTTTGTTATGCCCTCTTTGTTGAATGTTAGACTGTAAGTTTCTTGAGCCCATTCCACTATTTTGCACAACATAGAAAGAAAGAAAGAAAGAAAAGAAAAGAAAAGAAAAGAAAAGAAAAGAAAAGAAATCCTCCTGTTATTGAAAACAAATCAGTACTGTAATCACATAAGTCCCAGTATTTGCTGCTTAGGGTTTATGAAATAATCTGCTTTTCCATATGTTACATTTCAAAATTAGCTAAGCAAACCATTAGTTCTTGCACAGCTCAAGATTTCCATCTGCAGAGCCAGGTTGTCAGAGCTACTTAATTATTACTCAGTCAATATGTATGACTTTCATGTAGAAAATATATGCAATATTTTGAATTAAATTCACACATTCCTATATCACTTGGGACTGTCCATTTTTACTGCAAAACATATAAAATACCTTGTCCATTTTGGCCAGCTTTTCACAACATCCACAGCTGATGGTGTTTCATCTCCATCTAGATCAGCTTAGTGAACCTGGTCTATCTGATCCAGCAGTATTGTAACAGGCTCTGGCCATGCTCTTGAGTAGGAGAGGGAACCCCCAAATTCTATCTAACTGCTACCAACCACTAATTCACAACAGGTGAATCAGTAGCTCAATGGGAAGTAACTGAAGGGTTTAATTTGCACTTTCCCCCACCTCTGACTTTGCAATGAATATGCCTTTTCCTCCCATGGGAGATGAGAATCTCATCCACACACACTAAGCAAAGGCATGTGAAGAAAGAGTGGAAAAGAGA